CTTCCTGTTTCAGTTAAAATGACGTCAACACAGAGTAACGCTGCGTGTTTCTAAGCATTTCAGGGGACCTTTAAAGTATGTGTGTTTTGATGTGTTGACTAACATACTAAAGCACATGTGAATATCAGTGTTGCCAAGTCTGCGGTTTGCCCACGGAATTGGGCTACTTTATCACCGTTGCTGCGGGTTGTTTTTCATGTCCGCTGGTTAAAGCGATCTCGATAACGTGATATTTAGCTCCTGGAGTATGAATTTTTCCAGGGGAACCCCGCCAAAAATGTGTATTTTACCCCCCGGGACGCGATTTTTGACGGGGAGCCCCCCTCGAGATGCGATTGGGCTAGTTTTGAGTAGCAATTGGGTGGGTTTTGTTGTGAAAACCTGGCAACCCTGGTGAACATGTCATGCAATACATGACATAAGAGTTTAGATAGAAACAACATTAGCTCGGCTTAGCCATATTTCAAAGACAACAGAAGCAATTATGAAATTACACACAGATGTACTGAAGTCCTACACAAGTGGGTCGAAAAAGCAACTAATTCCAATTAATATAAATATAAACTATAATGCATTTTCATTTAATTGCAATTAACATGCAATTAAGTGTTCAAAAAGATTATATTCAGTTCACAATTAAGTATATTCATTTAAAGCATATTATTTAATAAGTACTTTTTAAAAGTATTCTAAAGTGTACTTTTGTTCCACAAACAATGGCTTCAGAAGACTATAGATAGTGTGCATGATTTGTATAAACAGTGCTATTTTTAAGACATTTTCTGATCTATTTTGAAGCTTGAAATCTCCCGTTCCTATTCATTATAATTGCAGTGACTAGTACAACTCTTCAAAATCTCTCCTTCGGAAGAAAGTAAGTCATATCGGTTGACATGAGGGTGAATAAATAATGCCAGAAGTTTCATTTTTGAGGCAACTGTTATGATACGCAATAGAGAATTGCAACTTTGTTCTTCACTGATTCATTGTGATGCACCATTAGCACTGATCATACTTCTGCAATCTTCTTGCTTTG